ATGAAATTTCTTTTTCTAGGTCAATTTACTGCAAGAGTCAATTTAGCATGGATTTTTAGATTTTTAGTTCTGGGGATCTATAATGATTGTATATTTAAAGTGTTTAGATATTTCACTTAACTTTAGTATTTTAAAAGGTAAATATAAATAGTGTAACTAATGTGAAATCCCAGGAAATTTATCGTTAGTGGTAAAAAGTGACACAATAATTTCCCATTCTCACTTCAATAATTTTGCCACAATTAAAGCTGTTTTTTGTTATTTTTCATCTTTAATGAGGTATCATTGACAAATTCAATTGAAAGATATTTAAAGTTTACATTGTGATGATTTGATATACATATACATTGAGAAAGGAGTCCCTCTCATCTAGTTAGTTAATCACCTTTAAGCTGTTGACAAATTACTTTGATCTTTGTAGAATAAAAAATGCATAAACATAACAATCATGATAAATCCCAATTCTCTCACACTGGTGTAGAAACAGTCATAAAGTACAAACCACTATAGGATTGTCTGTGAAATCTATCTTAAGAGAATTCTAACATCTATGATACTATTGTGGTAGGTGGAGGCTGTCATCTTATTCTGAGTGTACAAGCAAAGAGAACCATCGCGTCCAAGGCAGGGAAAAAGTATGTGCTATTTTTACATAACATTTAAAATGAGTATTATATGAATGACTTGCATTTCAAGCATTGATTTCTCTACAATTTAAAATTTATTTCAAAACATGAAATTAAATATTTTAAAAAACATGTTTGCCATGAAGTGAAGGTGAAAATGAGGCTGAATGATAAAGAAAGTAATCTCCCATGCTCGCTTCAGCAGCACATGTACTAATATTGGAACGATTCAGAGAAGATTAGCATGAACCCTGCACAAAGGTGACAGGGAAATTCATCCTTGATGTTCCACATTTTTCAGCAGGGGAACTGCATTGGAAGGCAGAGGGCAAGGAAGCAACCAGAACCCAGATTGAATCTGAGAAGTGTGGGTAGTGGGTATGATGAAAAAATAAAGACATAGGTCAATACATTTTCTTTTTTTTTTTTAATTATTTTTTTATTTTTTATTGTTAGTTTCAGGTGTACAGAACAATGCAATAGTTACCCTTTTCA